TTTATAAGTTACCATATTTACTTGAAACTAAGATGACCCTGAACTTAAGACACTACCCAATAATTAGATTCTACATGGAAAATTTATAAATTTCTTATCATTTTCCATGTATAGAATCTAATTTTGGGGATCTTGTCTTTAATTCATTACCCCACTATCACACCACCACTACAGGAGAAAAGGCAGTGGAGGGGCTGGTGGTATGGGGAGATCAAACAGTTTAACTCCTGCTTGTACCTGCTCCCCTACCACCTCTACCCTCTAATCCCCCCACCCCCCAGCAGCCCCTGCTCCCCCTCCCTTCCAGCCTCTGCTCCCCCTCCTCCCTCTTACCCTTGCACTGCATCAGCTTTGTCCCTATTCTAGCCTAGGACACTGAACACAGATCCAGCCCAGCCCCTGTAGCAGCTATGCAGGTTCTGCGCCACTACTATGGGGTTGGGCTGGGCTGGGTCTGAAGGCATGCTTAGGGCATGAAGCAAGTGTAAGGCTGCGGGGGGATGGGGAGCAGAGGCTGGAAAGGGCAGGGGGGAAATGACGGAGTGCAGAGGTAGCAGGGGGTGGGGGTGGAAGGGCAGACAGCATCTGTGGCTGCAACCCCAACCCTGGATAGGGGCTGGAGGCAGAGCCACAGGAGCTACCTGTTCCCTCCCCCCTGCCCTTGTATTTGATTCTAAGATGAGGGGCTTTTTCCCCCCATGTTGAGTGGGGGGAAGCTTGTCTTAACATTGAGTAAATGCGATAGTCTCTTCTCTTATTATAAGACACCCTGAGCCTTTGCTGGGGAGGGCAGCATATAAACTGAATAAATAAATAAGTTCATGGATGCATAAAATAATTATTTGGGTCCTTATGCAGCTCATTTACAATTGCCAGTGAAAAGCTATCCATTGACATGTGCTGAAGGCAAACTGGTAGCCTAGCAGTTAAAAGTTCTTTTTTCCTGTTCCCACTGTAATCTTTAGAAAAATTAGAATAAAACAAAACAAAAGCAATAATGACTTTAATTATAGCTTTTCCTCCTTCTACACATTCGCATCCACAGTGAAGTTATAATAAAAAAATCCTGTCTCTAAAGTTTACTGAATATAGTTATTTACATTCAGAATGACTCACTGGAATACTTAGTTTAACAACTGATGAAAGATTATTTTTATTTCCTTCACCCACAGTTGTTATCCTGACCACTGAGGACTGATGGTTACATATTAAAAGTTCTATGCTGCAAGCCCTAATATGAGAGCACCTTGCTGAAGTCAGTGAGAATTCTTCATTCTGGGGACTCAGAGGAAAGAGACCCTCTGCATCTTTGATGAGTTCAGTCTGTAGTCAGACATGTCTTATGAATAGTCAATAGAATATCAGATAATTCTCATTGACAGAGCGAGGTATTGTTGGCAGCTGTGGCTTTACAGAAAAACATTGATCATTTCACAGAATAATAAATCACATTTTTCACTAGCTTATTCCTCAAACAGCACATAACAATCAGTGGTAGCAACACTGATTGTACAAAAAGATCTTCAGTTGTTTAAATGACAGGATTTCAGCTTCTGCTGCAACCAGCTTGTGTTCTTGCTTGGTTCCAGGGCACAATGTATGACAAAGACCTGCGTATATACCTAATCGTTATTTACTGTTTCTTTCTTCCAGAGCAGAATGAAAGTAATAATTAACTTTTTAATTTGGTAAACATAATTCTTAACTGAACCAGAGACATGACACATTGATGTAGCTATGTGTTTTTCTGAGAGTCAAGCAAAGCTTTAAGTATGTGAGATTCCCAGTGATAACTTACTATTGAATTCAGTAGAACTGTTCACATAGCTAAATGGGAGCCCATGATCTCCCTGGGCTCCTATACATGTGCAGGGAGGCTGCTCTGACTCACTGTAATTACAACATGTCAGAGCAGACTCAATTAATCAAGTCTGCAGGATCATGATAATTACCACACTCCAGGGTCACGTGTGGGACACTTTAAACTAAAGCTTGTTTAATAAGCTTTGGTTCAAAGTGCACCGACACCATTTTTCAGCGCTGGGACACTGATACACATAACACTCTGGGCTCTTTTGATTAAAGTGCACGGATTATAGCACCCTTCCACCCCCGACTCCCAGAGCATTTCTCTAAATGCCCTCTTTGCTTCAGTTCCCCATCTGTAGGAAACAGGAGTCGATGCTTCCTTTTTCTGCCTGGTGTCTTGTGTCTTCAGATTATAAAGCTACACAGAGCATCAGTTTTGTCCCCCTCTTACAAAGGAAACACCCAAAGCTCAGTATTACGGGGGCCCAATCTTGGCTATGTTCTCTAGGCTGTAATGTTATATAAATAATAGTAATAAATTGCAGATATAGCATTGTACCAACTTCAGTAAGTGCAGGGTTTGATGCTGTCATTATACCTGGGACCCTGTGTCAGCTCACTGTCAGCTAAGCCCTAAGTAAGCTATCATGAAATTAAAGTTATACTATTCATTAGCTAAGAGTTAAATTTACTGGGTCCAAAAGCAATTAATATTACATTATTTATACAGCACTAAGGTTATCTAGGTGATGTCATATAATGTGTACTCTGGTTAAGACAGGAATTGGTGTATGCTTACCTAGTAATTATAACTGAAATAGTGTGAAATTGAGTCGCATATTGTCAGCCTGTGCTGTAGTTTAAATATGATATTCTGTGTCCTGTAAAGTAGCATTGCCACCTTTTCTTTGTCTGCAATCACCTGCTAATATTTAACCATTTCATTCCTTTATCCTAAATTTCTCCAGATTTCAGAAGCAAGAGTTTTTTTATTCTAGGAAATTTTCAAAATATTCACAAAGGGCATTTTGTCTAAACAGGATCTCCTTTTTCAATCTAGCATCCCTCTATTGCAGAGGGAAGGACTGGATAATGGCAGGGATAGGCAACCCCCAGCACAGGTGTCAGAGGAGGAAATACAAAGGCATTCTGCTTGGCACACACCTCAGGGCAGACGGTGGGGAGGGGGCCAGGGCTGTTCTACCACGACAAGAATCAGGCCTCTTGTGTCTCCCTTATCATCCACCCCTAGCACGCCAATATCTTACAAGTCAAGGTTTGAGGGTGTTTTTGGCATTCTGTCCCCAAATGTTCCTGACCCCTGGTTTATGGTAAACTAAGGTGTGTTGTTTGCCATGCTATGGATTCCATTTGCTACAAACAACAAGCAGTTCAAAGCAGGTCTTGAGGATACACAGCATGTTGATCTTTATGTTTTAGTTACCATTATTCCAATTATAACCCAGTTACATTATTTTTTCATAGGTAATGCCAGGTGACCCTCAAGCTAGCATTTTTGCATGGTACCTTCCATCCAAATCTTTTTAAAGATATTTAAGATTGTGGCTAGGACTTGAGCAGGAAAAGAGATGGCAAAAGGACTGACAGCATATATTCTGTTGTGGAAGGAGCAACCATGTGAGGGGTGAGATTTCAGTAATATTGCTTGTGTTGCTGACCTTTTCAAAGTTTGTTAAAAGGGCAGGGTGAGAGCAGAACCTCAGGCTAACCCCTGCACCAGCAAATGGGATGGAATTAATATAGAAGAATGCATGTTTTACCTTTGAAAAGGTTGATAAAGTTCCTTGTCTAGAGGCCCCTGAAGAACCTGGCCCAGTTAGCTAGTCTCCAAATGCTGCATGAGTCAGCCTCTTTGTCACAGAACAACCAGTGGCTCACCACCTTTTGCATACCTCCATTGTTAACATATTAAAACCTGTGCTCCTCAAACCTGTTCACAGGTCCCAGATTAAAAATCTATGATTGAAGCCTAATGAGTTACGCTTTGAGAAGTAACCCTTCTAAGAGGGAACTCATCAAAACAATCTCTAGCTGGTGGTGTGCTAAAATTGATTCCACGTTTTAAACGACAGGAAATATTTCTGGAGCAGGGACAAACAAATAAATTTATTGCATCTGCTAGATTGTCTTTTTACAGTTAGTCAAACTGAAATAGAGAGAAATTGTGACTTATCCAAGGTCACCCAGAAATAGCAATGGAGAGACTAGAATGTAAAAGCTTATTCAGCCCTTAAGAGCAACTGAAAATATGCTACTACTACTAATGAACTTTATACATAGCATAAAAATATGTTGTCATACCATCTGAATTACACCATCAGACTCTTACCTTGGTAATATATTAATATAATGACCTGGTCCAGTGGATGTACTTGTTGACAGTAAGATACATATCCTATTTTTGTGGAATATTCTATTACAGACCAAGCTTCTGGAAACAAGCAATTACATGCTTGATTTCTTGTTTTAAAGAACATTTACAGCCTTCATGAATGTGGAGAAAAGCATGGAAACCACGCTTCACTTGGGTTTTAGTGTAGTGCTGCAGAGGGGCCATCTGACTAATGCTAGTTGAAAGCACTAGCATCACATTCAAGAGTTTGTGGGTATGGCTGAGTGAGGGGGCTAGAGCCAATGACTATACAAGAATGTGTCTTAACTATACAGAAAAAAACACCCATAGACAGAGGCAATGCAAACACATACACGTAACCAAGCCAAAAGTTGTATCCTCCCATAGACTGTGAAGGGTAAGGGAAAGACTTATTTCAATTTTAGGAAACAAACAGATATGATCTTGATAAGGGTAACAAATTGGTATACAAGATAAAGATCTCAGAAAAATAGCAGGTGTGTATATGAAACAAATTAAACTTCAGTCGTTCAGTAACTTGGAAACAGATTTAGTGCATTTTATATGACCTTTTCCAAGGCTGATACAATAAAGTGATCAACCCAATAGTGAAAAAGCCCAGTCACCAAGTAGAAAGCAAACATAAAGAATTTCTGTTGGCAACTGCCTTATAATAAAATAGCCCCTAACTAAGCAAGTTGTTACTTTATCTCTGTATTTCAGCATGGTGTTCCAGATCCACAACCACCATGTGACAGCTTTGCTGTCAGGTCCTTCTCTTGCTTTGATCTTAACATCTTGTTATACTGTTTTGCAGGTCCTGATTATATCAAACAAAAATTTCAAGAAGGGATGGAGGTTAAAGAGAAACCGGAAGAAAAGGTTCAGGAAAAGCCACCTTCCCCCAAAGAGTCTCCTCATTTTTATCGAAAAGGCACTACACCACCTGGGACTCCCGAAACAAGCCCAAGGCACAGCCCTCCTCTTCCAGTTAAGCCTTCTCCTGCAAAACAGCTGAAAAGGCAAAACTCCAGCTCAGGGGCAAGACTCAATCAAGAAAAAAAGATTTTAGCTAGTGAGAATATAACACCCACAATCAACAAGCCTCTGTATTCAAAGGCACCTGTGAAGGAGGAGGTAGCTGTGAAATATCAGCCAAAGCTTTCAGCCTACCACAATCCCAGCAGTACAGGGAATGGGGAGCTGCATGATCATTACCATGGCTACTATGTAAAATCAAATCCAACACTGCATCCACATGAGCGTAGGGGAGAAGATGAAGATGTGAATCCATCATCTTCAGCACTTGCACGGATACCACCACCACAGAAGTCAAGTCCTGCCAGATCTGTGACTAAGCCAGAAGCCAAAGAAAACAAACCTGATACAAAAGTAAAGAAACCTGAGTTTGCTGCACCAAAGAATCCAGCTAATAATGAGTCCCATTCATCAGTGGAAAAAGAAGTGGATATGTGTTCGGTAAGTGCTATAGGTCACCCCTTGGTCTCACTGCATCTCTTGTACAAAACTCATTGTAGGAGTTTCATCTGTATAAGAAAGGCTGGATTATGCCCAAATAGGAGTTCCAGCTCTCACTGGTGTCTCTCTTGAAAATACACTAGTCAAGATGTCGACAGTGGCAGATTTTTAGAATAAATCTCTGTGCATTGCTATAAGAGTAAGAACATTGCACACAGAAGCATATTGATTTTTTTTTTGCATAAACTGCCCTCAACATATATTTATTGCACTTTCTCACCTGCATATTTTGACTGTGGTGTTTATACAGCTAGATTGCTGTCAGAACATAGTAGTTACTGAACAGATATCTAAAAAAGGTGCAAAAATCCATTTTTTAAAATTTAACAAACAATTTTCCATTAATGTTTAAAGTACCAGTGGGATTCACTGATAACTATCATCAAACTGTTTATAACTTCAATGCAACTTAGCAGTCAGTTCACATGTAAACATTATCCACACAGGGACCATTATGTACAGGCCTTGTAAAAAGCAATTTCCAAAGCCATGAGGGCTTTTGCTGACCAGGTAATGATAGATTATTGGACAATGGGTTATAAAACTACTACAATGTATCACTCAGAAGGCCCGTGTGCACTTTTACACTTTGGCAGAACAGGAATAACAGGCCAAAATTGTTTTCATTGTAAATTCTTAAATACCTAAAGGGGGTTACGCCACAGAAGAATTTAGTCCCCAATATCCGTATAAAAAACAGTCTATCAGCCTATATGTACTATATGGTAGATGCTATTAAAGTCCCTGTTAAAAAGTCTCATTAAACAGCTACAAAGATGATATTTTGACCTGGTACTTACATAATAATCTACCATTTAAAAATTAGAAATGTTAGAAATTAGAAATAGAAATATTTAACAGGCTTTTTAAAAATATACTCATTAGATGTCATTACAGACCTAATGCAAGGTAATTTAAGGAGTAAGGCACCGACTTTAAGGTACATTATAATGGCAACTCACCCTTACAGTGTGCCACTTAGAGTTAAGTCATGCACATTCCATAAGTGGAATTCCAAAAACAAGTTATGCATCTTGGGTCTCCATAACTTGAATGGAGATCCACAAGTGCCTTTTAACTGGAATATACAGCATTCATCATGCTACACAGGGTGATGCATAGGACAGCCAACAGGCAGTTGAAAGAGCAGCATGTGTCTAGAATTCTGCTTCTCATCTGAAGTTAGTAAATTCCCTGAAGCTGAGTTAGGTGTTTGTGCTAGTGGGAGAGTTACAACCCAAAGCCACTGGCTAGGCTTTAATGATCTAAGGAAGAGGTAAACAACATTCAACCTTTAGCCCAGAGCCAGCCTGCAGAGCCTTTGGATCCGGCCCACAGAGCCATGGCTTTGGCAGTGAGGGGCTCTCCCTATTCCATACTAGTCAACTACCTGGGGCTCCAGGGAAGGAGAGCTCTGCTTGTGCTGCACCGCAGTTGGGAGGTATGAGCTTCAGTAGAAGAAGACTTTCACTGTGCTATAGCTCAGGAAAGTGGTAGGGAGAAGTAACAGTTGCAGCTGGGCCCTGATACCTGCCAGCCTCCAACCCAAACTGAGTCATTCTGACATCCTTGCCAAAAAACTTAGCCAAATATTGCCAATAACGTCATGGTCTTATTGAATCAAAAGAGGTGGAGGGTCTATCCATTATTTTTCCAGTAGCCCTCTGGTTAATACACTTGCTCAGAAAATGGGAGGCCTGGATTCTAGGCCTTCTTCAGCTTGCGGGGTTTAAACCCACATCTCACTTCCAAGAAATGTGTGCTAGCCATTAGGCCTAGGTGTCAACGAGGTTATGCATCAATGCAACAAATCTACCTGGCTTGGGTCTACCAAGGTGGGCCAGTACTCCCAACGCAGCCACTTCTGCCACCACTTCTCCTGGTTGCATGGTGCCAGTAGGTAACCCTCCACCCAGCTGCATGGAGCCCTGATCAGGCACAGAGCATGGGCCACCAGGGTGGCCTTTGCTACATTGCTCGGCAACAGGGAGAAGTCTCAGTTGTATCCCAGGCAGGAAGTTCCGCAGGCCATATATGACCAAGCCTTGGGCTAGGTGGTAAGCTAACAAATCAGGCCTTCCAAGAGAAGTAGATATGCACAGTTTGTGAATCCCAAACAACCTGGGACAAGACGCAGCCGGCAGCATGCACGCACTTCTCATTCAAAATAGTGTACATTGTGCATGCGCAATAGCTGTGTTTTCAGATGCCTGAATTCATTCTCATCTGAGAACTAGAATACATAGATCTCCATTGAAGTACCTAGGATTTCACATGTGTATTAACATTTCAGGTGGGATGTTACTGAACTGCACCTCAAAAATGGCACAAATTTAGACAAAAAGTGAAGAGTATTCTTTTAATCTAGGCAATAAATTGTTTTTTCCTGGAAAATGAAAAATTTGGTTTTCCTTTTTTATTTTTAATAGAAATATTAAATGGACATATGTCTGGAAATTAAAAGTTTAAAAATATATCTTTAGACCACTATGCCGTGACATTCAGTTCTGATATAGAAATGATAAAATTGTCAATAAGAATGCAAACAAGTTTTTTCTTTGTTGTGAGAGAAAGGCAGATGATGTACTTATGACTGTGATGACGCACTTTCCATTCCAGCAGTAATTTCAGCAAATATTAAATGTGAACTCTTAAAGTTAGGCATTTGTAAATTATCCAGTCCGGATAACTTGCATCCAAGTGTTTTGAAAGAGTTGGCCAAGAGGCTTACTTCACCATTAATGCTGATCTTTCAACCAGCTTTGGAACACCAGGGCAATGTTTCTCAACCTGTGGGTCGCGACCTAAAAGTGGGTCACAAGAATATATGAAAGGTATGCAAACAAACTTTAAAAATGGATGATCAACAAATTTTTTAAATGGGTTATCCTTTAAAGGAGAAAAACGTGGGAAACCATGGCTTTTCCCTTGCAGGCTGGCAGAGTTCCAGCCTGCAAGGGGCTGCTTGCCAGCGCCCAGGGGCAGTGGGTCGGGACTGGCCTTTGATGTTTACAAATGGGTCCTGGTACAAAAAGGTTGAGAACCACTGCACTAGGGTAATTCCACAGGATTAGAAAAAAAGCTAACCTATGCCAATATTTTAAAAAGGCTAAAGATGTTAATTAATGCCGATCAGGGGAATTTTAAGAAAACAGATGTTGTTGAATTTACTGCATTTTTATACAAGGTTACAAATTTGATTGACTTCTGTAGGACACTTTACTTATCGTCACAACTTTGGCTAAAGAAACTGTGTATTGAAATGTAGCTAACTGATGTCTTAAAATGTAAATGGAGAATCATCATTAAGCAGATTTGTTTCTAGTGGGGTCTGGCTAGGATAAGCGCTTGGCCCAGAATCTACTACCCAAAAGAAGAAAAAATAATTTCCTATATCATTTGCAGAGATTAGGGAAGTGGCCAATAATAAGACAGATCACTGATATAGAGCATCTTGGATCAACTGGTAGGATAGAGGCAAGCAAACAATGTGTGTTTTAACACAGTTACATGTCAAGACACGCTCCTAGGAACAAAGAATGCAGGCCATGCTTACAGGACAAGGACTCTACCCTGGGAGGCATAGACTCTGAAAGAGACCAAGGGTTAAAAGGAGAGGATGATAGATAATCAGCTGAACTTGAACTTTCAAGTGTGATGCTGTGGCCGTAAAGTCCCTTTACATATGTGGATGAATCATACATTACCATGAAGGAGCCAAATTTCAAGTGATCAATGGACAGAATTTCAGTCTAACATTTAAATTTTTGGCTTAGCCCAGTTACAAGCATTTCAAGCCAAATCTTATCTTTTCTACCACTCCTCCCAAACCAAACCAAGACTAGGAACAGACCCAGCCACTGACTTTATTACTTGATAGAGCCCCTCTGCATGCCAAATTCTACCTTCTCTAATAACCAGGGCAGGGCCTACTAGAAGTAGGGAGGATATATAAATACATTATATTCTTTTAATATCTTTACATGTTTATTTATTCCACTGATGCAGAATTTGTCCCTCTGCCTCTCTCAAAATGCATTAAACACATCAGTCTTGATAACATAAGTGGTATGTGTGAAAGGAAGGCATTTATGGCTTAAGGGCTTATTCTCATGATGAAGGCATCTTCTATAGATGTAAAAATATATATGTTCTATAAGAATGTGTGTGTATCCTGATTTCTCCAGCATATGTACTATGTTACTAGACTGTGCAAATTCTCTTGCTTATTTGCATTTTTTTAAATTGTAAAAGAAGTAAGTCAACAAGAGATAAGCCCACAAGCCTACCAGAGTGAGGAAGAGGGTCAGTATATAATTGCTATTAATGCTGTTTGAAGATTTTTCTCATTAATTTTCATGACCAGTGTTTTAACCTCAAAGAAACCTTTGTCCTAATTCTAGTTCTACTCTGAGCCTTTGGCAAACAGAGATCATCAGTAAATTACTGTTACCCATCCATTGAGCTAGGAATTGAAAAATCATTGGAGCTAAATCAGATTAGGCTAAAATCATTGTCAAAGGGATGAAGAGATAATGCTTTATGCTTTGCCTGCAAGCACTGAATGATTCTTTTGCTTATTTGTTTCCATATTAGCTTAATTAGGGGACTGATGGAAAAAACGGCATAGCTCTCTTATACAGAAAAGAGTATCCTTAGAGCAGTGATTCTTAATCAGGGTGCCACAGAATCCTTTCAAGGGTGCCATGTAACATTAGCACTGTTATGTGTGCAAGCATGATTCACAAACATAAACCAGGAGATTTCAAATAGAAATCCATAACGTTGAAAACATTCTGACCTATTCTTTGAGTTCTTTGCAACAGAAGAAATGCTCTTATTTTTCTAGAGTCAAAAAACAAGTGAAAATTAAGAGATGGCATTTTTCAAGGGTCTATCAAGGTTGAGAACCACTGCCATAGAATAAGTGGGGTTTAAAC